ACAAAGATTCCTCCATAAGCTAGAATCACCCATTCAAGCTTCCAACATCCTTGTTCTTATGTTATTTTTCCCATACTTCAGGAGAAGCACCTAAGACCAAAGATATTGAGGTTTAGCTTGAAATTTCCATGCTCTGTTGGCTATAAATGCATAGTTCATCTGCTCTAGGCGTCTTAAACGTAATCCACCTTCTGACTTTGGTGAGGTGATAACATCCCAACTAACAAGGTGGTGTTTCCTGCTATTCTCATTGTCACCCCATATGAAACCTTTCTGCGTATCCTCGTATATTGATGTAGGTAACTTGCAACTTTGCATTTGGAAGAAAGGGATCACAACCATTACCGATTAGGCAAGGGTGATTTGACTTGCTTGAGATAAGTTGTTTATGCAATTATTCATTCTCTTCTTAACCCTATCCATAATTCAATTATACAAGCTCCTGGTTACATGCTCATGCTGCATTATAGAACCTAGGTACCGCCCCATGTTCTTGACTCTTTTGAAACCACTAGCCTGCACAATCTTTTTGATAGCCTCCTCAGGTGCATTCTTAGAGAAAAAGAAACTGGTCTTCTTCACACTAAGCTTCTGCCCAGACATTTCTTCAAATAGGTTGAGGCATTTAGGAGAATATGGAGCTACTCCTCACTAGCTTCCATAAACATCATTAAATCATATGCAAAGGCTAAATGAGAGATCCTTGGCCTATTCTTACCAACTTGCATAGGTTACCATTTCAAGCGGTATTTATAATATGCGTTAATTTCTCTATGGCCATGATGAATAAGTATGGAGAAAGAGGACCACCTTGGCGCAAGACCTTTGATGGCCAAAAATCTTTAGTCTTCCCTCTATTCCACAAGACGTTGATTTTCAATGAAGAAACACATTGCATGATAAGGTTGACCAATTCACCAGGAAACTAAGTCTCCTCCAAGGTTACTTCCAGCTAACCCTATCGTAAGCCTTGACAAGGTCAATGTTAATAGCCATGAAAGTTTTCCTCCCTTCATTTTGTTCATAGAATGAATGAGCTTTTGGACAATGATTATATTTGTCTATTTGGCTCAAAATTTGCCTGATATGGCGAGATAATTTTCTCCATCACTGGTTTGAGTCTTGAAACAATGGTTTTACTTAGAATTTTATAAAAGACTAAGCATAACGAAATTGGACAAGAGATTCAGGTTTCTTTGTTTTCAAAATTATCACTAGCAAAGTAGAGTTCACCTCTGCAATTATCTTCGCAAATGACCACATGTCTTTAATTGCATTGCACACCTGAACTTTGATCATATTCCATTGTCTCTGGAAGAAGACAACAGGATAACCGAGCCGTCAATACTAGGTGCTTTAAAAGCATCCATAGAGAAGAGATTTTGAATAATTTCCTGGTCACAAGGAGAAGGAGTAGCTTTTTCAGCAAGTTTAATGCACCAAAACTGTGGATGTATGGTGCTCAAGTGCTAAGAAAGTGAGAAAACTCGCATTTTAATTTTATTTATTGATTGATTAATTATTAATTATTGCGGTTGAAATTGCCATAAATAACCATTTTATTTTCATTTAGATTGTTTTATTATGGCCGTTTTGTTTGAGAAGGTCCGGTTTCGGTTAAATTTTGACAGGTGGAATCTGTTTATGTTTGGATTTGTATTTAATTGAGCCACAATTAGAGTAGGACTACACTAAAAACTCCTCCGAGATGAACTTGGATAGAATCTGCACGTCTACAGCATAATATCTTTTAGCCACATCGATACATGATCAAACAGAATAATGAACGCTTAAGATCATTAGCCAAAAGGATAATTATACTCGCTACAGTTTCTGCAATTTGTGCAGTTTTGAACAGATCCGGATCCTTTCGTTTAAAAAAAAATATGATACACTCACTACAGTTTCTGCAATTTGTGCAGTTTTGAACAGATCCGGATCCTTTCGTTTAAAAAAAAAATATGATACACTCACTACAGTTTCTGCAATTTGTGCAGTTTTGAACAGATCCGGATCCTTTCGTTTTAAAAAATATATGATACGCTCATATTAAAAATTATAATTATATAAAGATAAATTAATGATAATAAAAAAAGAGAAAGAAAAAATATTGAAACGAATAATTATAAAATTAGAATCGTCAATTTATTTTTCTATGATTTATAATTTTTTCACATGATTTATTTTTCTATGATTTATAATATTTTCTCAACTGCACTGTAGTTGGAACTCCAGAGAATCCAAATTAATTCTTATGCAATAATAGTGACAAAAATACATTTTTAACACGAATAACTCACCATTTACCATGAATTCCAGACGCATCTCATGACCACGTGATGAAAGCGACATTTAACCGCTTCATCTTATGCCTTGGGGCGGGGCCCTTGCTTGTGGAAAATTGCATAGCATCTGAAAAGAGTTATGACTTATGACAATAGATGAAGAAAAAGTGGAATTTAAATCTCGTATTATATGTATAAATTGGATCTCCATTAGCATATATAATGTCACTCTACTCTACCTCAGTTTGAAACACTAATATTTTTGTTACTTTAAAGTCAAATAATTATGTACAGTCTACACAAATTCATTAAATAGACACCTCGTATAAGTAAAATTTATCCCTTTGTCTAATATTATATTGTATATATGATACCCCACTATGCGTTTGAAGCATTTGTAATATTTGTTAATACTCTTTATGGTCGAATAAATGTTATAAAAGAAAAAACATAGGTTACCTACTTCCCTTTGGAAGGCTAAAAGAGAGAAAAAATACTCCGATCATCTTTTGGTCTTTCAGGTATTATTTACTGTAAAATGCATCTAATAAATGTTATCGCTATTCACTTTCAATATTACACCTATAAAAATACCATAGCTTCTTAGAGTCTGTTTGTTTGGGCTTCTCAAAAAAATAACTTTTATCTCTTTCTTATTTTAAAAGTGTTTTTTATAAAAGTTAAAGTTATTTATATTTTTATAAAAATATTTAGTTTTTGAAAAAAATATTTGGCTTTTGACTTTTGCTTTTCTTAGAAGTGAAAAATTTTAGTTTCTGAAAAAGTAAATTTTTGACTTTTTTGTGACTTCTGCTTTTTTTAAAAACAGACATCCAAACGAACAAAAAACGAGAAGTGCTTTTTTTCTTGAAAAAAAAACAGCTTTTGAAAAAAAAAAAAAAAAACTCATCCAAACAAGCTAATGAAATATAAGAGTACGGGACTTCAAAAAACCCTACAACAACAAATGCATAATAAATTGGAATTCAATACTGATTGCAGTAACTGACGATTTATTGGGGGAAACAAAAACACTATCAAGCTAAAAAATGATTTGAGTACCCAAACTCGTTGGCACATATGAAAGGAGTCTGTGTTCTCTTAACCAGTGGGCTCGAGTTTGAGTTTTGGGTATGAAAAAAACGGATTGGGTAGGACTACCCCCGAAAGGGAGTCCGATCGACTCCTGACTGGGATTAGTCTTATCCCCAAAGGGGATAGGGATACCCTTGAGATTACTCAAAAAAAAAAAATGGTTTGAGTGCTGCTATAATAACGAGAACTCAGTCTATACTTACTAAAATTAAAAAGAGATGACTCATTTAATTACATTTACATCTCTTAGGGCATGTTTGGTACATAGTATAGGATAAGACCTGGTAGTATAAAGCCTGATTGTATAAGACCTGATTGAATTTTAATACTATCTAGTGTTTGACACGGTATTGTATAAAATAATATATTGTATAAGATAAGATAATATCATCTAGTATTTGATATGCACTGTATAATACTATATATGATAAAAATAAATATTTTTAATAAAAATATCATTGAATAAAAATATCCTTTAATAAAGAATTTATATATTTCTTCAAAAAAAGTAAATTTATTGATCAGTGTCCAAAATAAAAATTAATTTTTATTTTAATAAATTAATATTAAAATAATATATTAATTTTTGAGAATTACATTAGTCAACGATGTTAATACATCAATCTCTTATTAGGTCTTATCCCTCACCCTTATGCCGGATTAAGTTATAAATCATTTTGATTAGGGGTGGCAATACAGGTATTGACCCTCAGGTTGACCCGTGACCCGACCAACCAAATCACGTGTCGTGTCAACCCGCGGGTCAGGGCGGGTCGTGTCAGGGTTGTGTAAATGAGACGCGTTTTTTTTCGTGTCGGGTCACGTGTTAACCCGCGGGTTCGCGTGTCAACCAGCACAGTGTCATTTTTTTAATTTTCAATTAAATATTTTATTATATTATTATTTTTATTCATTTATATATTGATATATATAGTCATTGTTTAGTATAGAAAAGAATATAAGGAACTAAAAATCTCAAGAAACATAAGCTAATCTTTTTTTATTTTATTTTTTATTTTTTTATTGTTTTTAATTTATTTATTTTTCAAAAAATCCCTCTTTTTTTTTAATTTTGAATTGTGCGGGTCGTGTCGTGTCGACCCGTGACCCACAACGGGTCGTGTCAGGGTTCGTGTTTTGTGACCTGTTTACAAAACGGGTCGTGTCAGGGTCGTGTCAAATAGTGTACGTGTCGAAAACGTGTCGTGTCGTGTCGGGTTGACCCGTATTGCCACCCCTACTTTTGATGTATGAAGGGATTATGCTGTATAAATTTATACTATACGACAGTCACACCAAACAACTAAAAATGTCATAACATATAGTATAAGCTTATACTATCATACCTTATACATCACACCAAAAAGGCTCTTAATGCAACGTGTGCTTCATGTACACAAACAGTGAAAATTTACTCATCTAATCGACTCTAATTCTAACATTAAATATGCATAAAATTACATGAATTATATTGATGATTTTTTTATCCCAAAAGAATCTATTTAGAGATTTGAACAGATGAATAGAATACCTAAACAATATCTGCTCCAAATAAAAATATCCATATATAATATGATGAGTATTAAAAGCAACGGTCATACTATAATCAACTACTGGCATTATAATATTGAACTAAATCCAATTACGTTAGAACAAGAATTTAAATTGAAGTTCTGCATATTCTTTCCTAATTCAAACCACCCAAACGAAGCCTCAGGTTTTCCTTCGTTTTAATAATTTCCATTGCTTCATTAAATGAGAAACACCCTCCTTCAAAGACGCCTTCCTTCCTTCCTTAAAACTCCATAGCTCCGGTAATGGATATCTACCACTGGGGTTGTATTCATTCAACTCTCTCAGAGCTGTAGCCACCGCTCCAAAGACCTCATCGCCGAACTCATCCTTTAAAGTTCTAAGTTTTTCATCTTCTTCATCTAAAATTTCCTGCATAATAACATATATTAAGATCATGCATGGTACCTGCATGGAACATCAGGAAAAAGAAACATGCCAACCAAGCACTAGAGAGATGACCACCACCTTGCCCTGCCAATAGTTTTTTAAACAACACTTGCAGCATAACTTGCTTTGTAATTATTTTGAAATGATGCATTGCATTTTTTAAATATTTTTGTAAAGAACCAATTCAATCTAAAAGCTTAAACTATTAATGGTTTTATATTATATCTCTATAACACGCCTCCTCACATGAGCCCATTAAACTCAAAGTGTTAAAAATGCACAAGTCCCGCCTACCTATGCTAAGAAACTCTATAATATTTAATTATTTATTAATAGACTAGGGATAATGAGGATCGAACTTGTAACCACTTGATCACGAAGACTCTGATATCATGTAAAGAACCAATTTAACTCAAAAACTTAAACTATTAGGAAAAGGCCATATCAATGGTTTCATATTGTATCTCTAACAATTTCATAGCATGAATAAGGAGGAAATCCGGTAATATCCCTAATTAAAATGACCATAGGAACAGTTCTTAGGGATTAAAAGAAGAAAAAAAACTTCCATTTGAACACATAATCCTGAGTCATTGTACCTTCGCATTCCCTGCTTCATCTAATAAAACTTTAAATGGATGCCAGCTTGGATCTCTAAGATAAGCCTCCCACTGTGAGCACAACTCCACAGCTTTCACATTCACTTCATCACCAAAAAATTTCCTCTTAGCTGCTTTCACAAACGGCTTACCATCAAGCTCTCCCATTCTTTTCACACCAATAAAAGCTCGAGTCGTCTTCGCCATCAGCTGTGAATAAGGAAATCAGATTAATTCAACAAAATACAAACGACAAAACCATGGCACCAATAGTAACACAACAACAAACTAGCTGAACTCATAGCACTTATTTTGCTAGTAGTTTAACCATCAGATCCAATACCAAACCACAATAAAATATATTTGCAAAAATAACCAAAAAGAAAATCTGGTCTTTTATAGACCTGACCTAATTCAACCAATCTGTATTTCAAATATTAAACCATATGGATTAAAATCATCTCCTTTGGACACAAACATTTGTACAGCAAATTCACAAGGAGAATCAAGCAACCACATGATTCACAGAACAGGCTAGTACCATTGAAAAATTGTAATTCCTCAAATACAGAAACTAGAGTTAAAACACAGAATGTATTGCAGGTGAATTGCAAAGACATGCAACCAGTTTGCTATAAGTTATCGCAGCAAATCACCAGTCAGTACCCTGAATATGATTCCAACTACATAATTTGAATGTAAACTAATTACAAGTAAATGTAGACTACTAAACATGAAACACTCTGCTATAGTCCATATATAAGCAGTCACATATCAATTAAATGCAGACAACCTTAGATTTGTGGTGAGGTTTACCCCGTATTATATACAAATAAAGCCCTCTATCCCAGTTCAGAAAATGATTAGTTAGAGAAGACCTTCCAAAGTTGATTTTCGGACCATTGGAGGAGTTGAAATCCTGACGACATAATCACATTGAAGAGATTCACATTTATGTACAGAAAAAGATACATACACTAATTAATTCCTTGCGAGCATCTTGCAACTCGTCATTGGTTTTACGCTCCTTGACAACAAGAGTTTGTTGAAGATCTTCCATTGCTTCCAATTCCTCCTCCTTATCCTGCAAAGCCAATTTAATTGCATCCATTTTTTTCTTCTCCTCCACATCTTCATCCTCCCCCATGTGTTTCATTACTTGGATAGCTCCCCTCATGTGTTCGATCTCCAATTCCAGTGTTTGTTTAGCATCAAGTCTTCTTTGTAGTTCATGAATTTTTTCATGGAGTTTCTCCTTTTCTTTCTGTAACGTTCAACCACAAAATGACAAAGTCAAAATCTTAAATGGATACAAGTAACTGAATTAACTACTCTCAATAGAAGAAAATGGAATCCGTGCCTTTTGTTCTTCAGCCAAATGCATCACTTTCTCATCAGCCTTGTTTTGCTCCATTATTGCCATCTCATTCTGCAATCAAAGAAGATGAAGAACAAAATTCATCAGTCTTAGAATTATTAAAATAGAAAAGAGAAAGAGGGGGAGGGGGTTGGAATTTGACACAAAATGACTGGCTTATCCATAAAATTACACAGGCAAAATATATTACATTTTTCTTCTTAAAATGTAGTTTCTTTCTCTCATTGTCATTCCGTGCTTGACGCTTTTGCAGATCATTCTCACGGTTCTGAAGCTCTTTCTTTTGAGCTTCCAGATGCAATCTGGCTTTTTCATGATCCATAAAAATATTGTTCAAATGATCACGATCCCTCTGCTGTATCTGTTGAATTTCTAATGGAACAGGGTGAAACACAAGGTAAGTACCTTGAATGATTAGAAAATCACATGAACTAGAATAATTCACTTCAAAGTAAAATAGACAATAAGCTATCATGAAAGGATAGATATAATCATACAAAGCAGAAAGTTTCACCAATCAACTCAGAGAAACACAGTAAACTATGATGAAAAGAAAAACCAACACGAACTAGAACAATTCACTTAAAGTTTCAACATACCATTATTAAATGATTTAATCATCTCCTCTTTCTGTTCCATCACTCTGTTCAGGGACCAATCAATCTCATCATATTTGCTACATACCTGTTCCAATTCCTTATTCTTCATTTTCAAGGTATTAGCTAAACCCGAGACAAGCTTTGATGTTTTCCTTTTGTCCTCTGCTTCTTTTCCAGAAACAGTTTTCAAGTCCCCATTTTTACGAAGGTGAACACCAATTACACTCTTCAAGTGGTAGTCATCATCGCGAGCCACCCATCCATACAGCCTACCCCTTTGGCATCTTGAACTGTAGTAATCCCTCTTACCACACTGTTCCGCTTCAAAGCTCTTTTCAAAGTTCATAGCATTGATGAAACCATCCCAATCTTTGCTAAACTCGACAATGGCAAAGCCTGAATGTCCATTATGGTTCCATAGGGGATGAACTCTCAAGGGGTGAAATCCTTTTAGGGTAAACTCCTCCCTTAGTTTGCTACCACTTTCTCCAACATACCTTCCATTTTCAATTTCAGTAGGAATGTTAGCAACAATACCCATCCAAGGCCAGACAAACAATTGATCCTTGCTAACAGGTTCTGGTCTAATATTCTTAGGAAGATACTTATCAATGTACAATTGAAGAGCAGAGTGCTTCGCTATAACTTTAATCTCTCTGCTATGTGAACCCCTGGCAAATCTTGATGCATGTTTCAAAAGCTCACTCACGGAGTAATCCTGCCTGTCAAGGCAAAAGGGGCACCTATATGTTGAATTGGAGATTTTGAATTTAAAGCAATCATTCTTCAAGTCATTGTAATATCTATGTTCATAATACTTCAAGTCAGACTCACTGATACGTTCTGAGTGACGTGACATCTGAAAATGAGAATTGCAAGATGAAGTCGATCATCACATACTACACACTAGAGACGCCAAGAACAAAGAATGGAAGAAATTTATAATGCTCAATGATATTTCCAATTTTTTCTATAACCAATAAATGTATTTCTTATATTCTTTCATTCAATCAAAGCTAAAGATTAAGCGAAATTTTTTCATAAATGGAAGAATGCGATGAGGCGATTAGCATAATAATAATAATAATAATAATAATAATAATAATAATAATAATAGTGGTAATACCTTGTGCTGGAAGAACACACTCTTTTTGACGTGTATCAAAGCTGAAGAACAGAGAAGAATCTAGAAGAAGAAACCCTAAGCCCTTTCTCAAACGAAAACGAGTTTCTTTTTTTTTTCAAAAAGCAGAGAACTCTGGATAATCATTGCAGAAGCTGAAACGCTTGTTTTTATGTTAGACTGACGGAAACAGTATTACGCTGTTAATGATAATATTAGGAAATGAAATGACATAAAATTTATCTTATGGGTAAGAATGAGATGAGAAAACTAGTTATAATTTCTGTTTGCGCTAAGCATAGTCATTCATGTAACCTCCCAAGGTAAAAAAAATGGTCAAATATCTTTCCTTCATTGTTTTTCAGTTTTTCTAAAGTAAAAAAGTGGTCAATTAACTTTCTACTATTATGTCTCCTAATAATTCAATAATTATTTTTACATTTTTAAGTTTTAATGTTTTTTTCTTTCCACCGTTACTTTATTATGTACCTCAAAAATCAAAGTTGTTTTACATTTTTTCCTCCTGTCATCAAGTTTACAAAGGTGTCACCCTGGCTTGTGGGAGTGAGTGGGAATGAACGAGAGAGGGTTTTGGTTCAAAGTTGTTGCAGAAAAAACACGAAATCCTTTGCCTCTGCGTATGCCACTGCACGCAACGTACTGCCTTGCGCATGCTTTCTAACTTCTCATATTCGTCCTTTCTTTCTTTTTTTCTAATTAAAAACCTTTTTTATTCTGATTGATTGTGTAATTTTAAATGAGAGAAAGACATAAATAATAAAAATTATAGGAAAAGAAAGTGTGTGATTTTTTTTAATTTAAATTTAAAATAAAAAATATTAATTTATATCTTTCTCTAACTTAAAATGATACAATTATATATCCTTTAAAAGGATAAATATTTTTCCTATATTTTTTTTACTCATTTTATAAAAAATAATTTTAAATACTAATAATATAATATAAGTCTTGCACAATATGTTATTTTGTGTTGAGGTTACATACATAAACCATACTTCATTTTTAATAAGATTAAGAAGTGATCTTCAATTTGATCTTTCAATTTTGGTTATAGGATATATTTGAAGGGTTTAATGTCTCTTACAGGAGATAAAATTATTTCTTACTCACACATAAAAGTATATCTTACCTTTTTCTCTCTCTCTCTTTTTTATATTTCTCATATGACCCCACACACTAAAATATATATATATATATATATATAAAATAATTTTATCTCAAATGTCAAACCTATATTTAAAATATGGTTAGAAGCCCTTGATTATTGAATTTGGTTATATAAACCATAGTAGGACTGCATTAAAAAGTCCATCGAAATGAACTTGGATAAAATCTGCACAAGTGAAACATCCCGAGCGCTGACGAGGACGGGGAGTAATTGCCGGTGCGAAAGGGCATGGACAAGGAGCAGTTCCTGGCAGGCTTCCAGCGGGGGTTACATGAACGAATGAATCGAATCGACACTCGAAAGAGAGGGATTTCAAAGACTGTGGAGGTATGAGACTGCACAGTTTGGGATAACTTATAAGAATTAATTGGTACTAACTACACTAACAAGATGCATCTACTTTTGGGTAGCCCAGAACGAAAGAACTCCATAGTTAAACGTGCTTGACTTGGAGCAATTCTGGAATGGATGCCATCTTGGGAAGTTTTCCCAGGAAGGGTGCGAGTGAGGAAAAAGCACACTGAAAAGTTTCGTGTTAGTATGTGAGGATAGTCATTGATTCTTGAAGCGGTCGGGCGTTAGATGTAAGAACCCACACCGTTAAATTAAGAATTTAATTAATTTAATTATGAGTCAAGAGATAAATTCTATAATTGAGCTTGAATAGTTATGAAAGGGCTTAAATAATTAAGATAAGGGCTTAATAACGCTAAAAGTCGCTTTTCTGACGAAAAGTGCAGATACCGATTCTGCTCCACGGTATAAGTGCGTTCCGATGAAGTATCCTAGAAAATTATAATAAGTGTATGAATGTTTCTAGAATAATATTTAGGACTGGTATGTCAAGTTTGGAGTCAAATAATGAGAACTGACGTCAGGACTGATTCAAGCTACGTAAAAATGAGTACCGGTAAAGTGCTGCAAAAATTATAATAAAAATATGACAAACCTTAGAAAAATGGCCAGGTTCAGAATCTCAAGTTTGAGATTAAAATGATTAGCGAAGCTATTAGTGATGAGCATGAAATTGATTTAAAAGTAATTAAAGTATGAGAATTATAATTAAATTGTTATTTTATTCTCAATAATATTCTCATAAGATTTCTGATATTTTACAGTAATTTCAGCTCAATAAAGAGATAAATTGGAGATACCAAGTAGAGTTGCTTTGGATTTCTGAATCATTCAAGATCTTATCAAATTTTTGTTGAATATTTTTAAGGAAAATTTCTCATTAAATAAAAAGGGAAAGATTTGAAGGATTGAATCAAAAATATGATTAGAGATTCTAGTGAAGATTCTATTAAAGATATGACTAGGATTTCTAAACAAAGACACAAAGTCTATAAATAGAGGCTTAGACTCCTAGAGACAGACATCTTTGGCTGGAGAGAATTGTGAGGTTCAGAGAATTGAGAGAATTCTTGGAGGCTCACGCTGGAGATCAGGATTCCGACGGAGTTGAAGAACGAAGACCATTGATCCTTTGTTTTCTTCTTCTTCTTTTTCTTTATTGTTTTCATGAATTTTTATTATTATTTTAATTTGTTTAAGTCAGACATGAATATGTCTGGCTAGTTTTCTTTTTGTAGTATGATCACGGACCCAATGTGATTCCTTTATATTTCTTGTATTGATATTTTATAAGTTAATTAGTTAGTTTGTTTTATTCTACCTGTGTTAATTTTTCCATATCCTGTTTAGAATTGGCCACTCTAAATTATAGGGCTTTGAGGGTTAGAATTCACAATAGACATATTGGGATTTTAATCTGGACAAGGGTAGAATAACAATTTGTGCATGACCTAGACATAGGCTTACATAGATTGCAGACTTATAATTCATTTGCTTAATGCTTAATTCAAGAGGGATTACTAAGACATTAGAATTCTGATTGGGCTAAAGGGTGGAAATCACTAAGACATTAGGGTTCAACTATTTTATAGGAAAATAATGAATTATTTGAGCAAAATGAATTAATTAAATTATAAAATACAATATGGGAATATAAGGGAGGATTGGAGGTGAAGTGCATCCTGGCTACAACCTTCTTACAAATTTTTCATCAATATTCTCTTAAAGTTCTTAATATTTTCTTGCATGTGTTCAAATTTAATTGCTATTAATTTTCTGTTTTAAATTGTTTTTAAATTCTGTTTTAAAATTCTAAAATCAATCACTTTCACAACTCAACCAAATTTACTCTTCCAACTTAAGGGGAATAGTTAAATTAATACTTGGTGCATTAATCCTCGAGGGAACGATACTCTACTTATCACTTTATTACTTGAAACGAACGGTATACTTGCCGATTTCGCAACAAGTTTTTGGCGCTGTTGCCGGGGATTAATTACGCCAATATTAGTCTTGACTTTCGATCTTTGAGATTGGAATTTTGATTTATTTATTTTATTTATTTACTGATTCGATTTCTCTCTTTTATGCGAGGTAAAGCTAACAGTGAACCTTTATAGTTTGATCCAGAAATCGAAAAGACTGCAAAGAAGAACTGGAAGCTAACCAAACTAAGTAAGCAAGAGGAATCCTCGAGTTCAGAGCCAAAAGCAGAACCTGAAATGGCAGCACATAATCCACCACCACCGGAGGAGGAATTAATGGAGTCAATCTTGGCTCCACGTTCACAAGGACAAATTCTAGCATCATCAGACCACCAATCAACGCCAATAATTTTGATATCCAACCAGTACTGATATCCTTGGTTGAGAAAAATTCATTTGGCGGGGAAGATTATGAAGACCCCCATGATTTCATGGACAGATTTCTGAGAATATGTGACACCACCAAGCATAACGGGGTGTCAAATGATGCAATTAGACTCTGACTGTTCCCTTTTGCTGTAACAGGGAAAGCTCTCAGATGGTTGGATAGACAAGCTCCCAACAGCATCAAAACGTGGGATGAGCTGGCAGCCAAATTCTTCGCAGAGCACTTCTCCAGGGAGAAATACAACAAGTTGGTGAATGAAATCACCAACTTCGCTCAACAACCAGGAGAAACTCTATGTGCAGCTTGAACCAGATTCCAAGAACTGATCAGAAAGTGCCCCGCGTATGATCTGCCAGACGGAAAGAAGGTTAGAATCTTCTATAATGGAATGACACCAGACTCCAAAATGGTTGTCAATGGTGCAGCCGGTGGAACAATAGGAAAGAAGATAGCAGCTCAAACTTTAGAGCTGATAGACTTCATGGCGAGGACTGAGAACACATCAATGACAGTTCAACCAATTCAACCAAGAAGGAGAATTCTGCAATTGGAAAACAATGATGCATCGCTAGCAGAACAAAAGATCATATCTCAACAGATAGCCAGTTTGAATGCTAAGTTGAAAAAGATGCAACTTTCTACAGCTCAAGTTAACTCATTTAACTGTGAGTATTGCAAAGGAGAGCGTGAGACCAACGAATGCCCAACACTTGTAAGAGCTAATTCCTTCCATGTTAATAGAGTCTGGTATGATCCAAGACCACATCAGAATTTCCAGAGAAACCAGAACAATGCTCCAGGAAACAACTTCCAAAGGAGA